CAGACCCAGTTCTTAGCCTGGTTCCCACTCTGTTCCCCTTTCCAGTTCTTAGAATCTGTCTCTGAACCACTAACTCTGGCCATCAAAGGGAATAAGTACTTCAAATGTACAAACTCAATATGTGATTAACGGAAACTAAGTGTGACTAGAGGAATAAGTCTCCTGGGAAAAGCAGCATGTATTGAATTCCCAAGTAAAACAAATGCTTGGGTTATCTCCCCTTCTTCTCCAGGCAGCACAAAGCAGGCACTAAATCAAAGGCCCTTGTCTCTGCCTCAAGGTCACCAGGAAGTTCCAGTGATTGGAAATAGGTGTGGGGACAGCCAGAAAGTGAGCCCCTGCCCAGCGTACTAGGTGGGACTGTGGGAGAACTGTAATTGATGACTTTTCATACTAAGGACACATATCTACTGGTGTCAGCTAGTCACTCCCTGCTGGAGGGATTTTAAGACCTCCTCAGGACTTTTAAAGCCTCTAAAGAGCTAATGAAGCAGAACCATAAAGCAGGGCCACCACTGTCCAGGGCTTCAGGCAAATTTCATGTGCTTGTCACCGCAGTGCTGTTCCTAAACTCTGGGCCAGTGCCTGTGGCCCTGGGGCCTGACTGCAGCATCTGCTGCCTCTTGGGATCTGCTGAGCCCATGGGACCCAGGCCCTGGCACCCAGCGGTGCTTCCCAGTAACAGAACTGTAATTCAGGGCAGTATTATTATGACGACGTGACTACGACTGGATGTTCCACGGTGCTGTGCAGTTTCCAAACCTGTTTTATGTCTTTTTCATTTTGTTCTGAGTCATGTCCTTTTTGGCACATGAACATGTTGAGTCTCCTGGGTGGACAGTGACTTGCCCCAAAGTCGCACCATCCGTCCTATGGCTCCAGATCTCATGTCCTGTGGCAGAGCTGTCCAGTGACTGCCGGTCACCTTTGGAATCGGGCAGGAGGGGATTGGGCCAGGTTGAGCCAAAGACCAGCCAGCCAGGAGTTTTTCTCGGCCCAGTTTGCTCTGGCTGCTTCTGAGGTTGAGATATTAGCTAATGGTCAATGAAGTCCCTTTGGCACTTCTGTTGTGAGAAATGACCTACTGCCAGCAAGAAAAAAAGGGTCCTAGGCTCCCTTGAGTACTAGCATTCATTTAAAATGACAGGTTGGGCCTTCCTGTGGAATTTAGATAGCAGAGAAATTTTTAAGTGTTCCCTGTTTCCAGAGCCGGGATGAAGGAAGAAAGAGTCCTCACCACTTATCCTAGAGGACCTATGGATGGCCCACAGCTGGGAAGGGCCGAGCTGGAGCTGGTTAGGAGGACGGCTATGGGACCCTCTCTTGCAGGATTTAGGTAAGAGCTAGCCCAGCCCACTCAGAGGTTAACACAGTGAGTTCCGTGAAGATGGAGATGGTGTCTGCTGCCTCAGCTGTTTGCTGATGCCCAGTTCCGTGCCTGGAACTTATGAATTACCCAGTGGGAGTTTGTTGTGGATCTGCTGATTCTGGGGTGCGTTGTGTCTGAGCTTTTGCTGAATATGAGATGATTAATTCCATGAGACAGGGACCTTGGGGGCTCCAGACCCAGAGCTGAGTATACAGGTTGTAGTTGGGCAAGTCACGAGGAGACCACTCATTCTCAGGGAGTCGGACTTGTTCCTGGAAGTCATAAGGTAACAGGTCAAGGATTGCATACAACACATGACAGTCCAAGTGTCTAGGGCAAGATAGGCTACCCCCACCCCCGGCATAGGGCTACACACATAAACAAGGTATCCAGGGAGGGTGCCATTCAAGATCTAAGGCAGACAGATTATGGGGATCAGGAAACATGTTTGTTTCACAAATAGAGCTCCAGGAATCAGGCTGGGGGCCCTCAGCAGGGAGGGGGATTTGAAAGAACAAGATGTTGCTTGCATTCTATGTGAGGATCTGGTTATGACAAGGAATCAAGGTAGGGCAGGTACCCAGTGATCCCAATATAGAAATGCCATCTTAGTCCATTTTCTGTTGCTATAACAAAATAGCTGAGTCTGAGTAATTTATAAGGAAAGAAGTTTATTTTGGTTCATGGTTCTAGAGGTTGTGAAGTCCAGGAACAAGGTGACAGTGATGGCCTCAAACTATTTCAATTCACAGCAGAAAACAGAAAGGCAAGCAGGTGTGTAGAGAAGAGACAAAATACAAGTGGCAACTTCACTCTACAACAACGTGCTCCCACAATAACTGAACAAGAGCAGGAATGCACTCGTAAGAGAAAGGCATGAATCCCTTTACCCCCAGGACCCCAAACCTCCCATCAGGCTCCACCTCCCAACACTGCCACACTGGGAACCAAGCTCAATGTGGGTTTTATTGAAGAGAAACCGTATTCAAAGAACAGCAGATGGACTGAGCTATCTGGCTGCATTCCATGCCACTATGGAGATCTGGGGTCAGGCTGGGCTTTCACATGTGAAGCTGGGTACAATTCCAAGAAGAGAGGGAGGCTGCAGAGATGGGGAGGAGTAGGGTCCCGTGAAGTCCTCTTTTCTGCCCATGGAGCTTATGGAGTCTCATGTCTCACTGGGGAGACAGCCTGCAAGTGGCGGCTTTTATGAAAGCAAAGAAAATGTCGGCATCTCCTGGGGAGCACAGACAGAGGGACTGGAGCCTGGTGGTCCTGCAGAAGCTGTGGGGTTATTGCATGGGAGTCCAGCTAGTGCTGGGATCTGCTGCTGCCCTGTCACCAGCTCCTGCAGCCCACCCTGTTTAGGCAGGTTCCATTCTTGGAGCTTGAGGTCTAGTTAGGGAGAGAGATCACCTCTGCAATGGACTAACGAACATGCCCACAGCGGCCCAGGTATAACCAACCCAATGCCATCACAATAGAGGCCCCCTGGCTGCAAGCTTGGGAGATGTGAGTGGACACTGGAAGGAAGTTCTCCGGAGGGGAGAGAGCCACTGATGAGTTGGGTACAGTCTCAGAAAAGAAAAAAAAAGGCAATGGATTGGGGAAAAAAAAAAAACAGACTTCACACGTGAATTCATCTTTATAGCATCTCTATTGTCACCCTGGGAGCTCGTTTTATGCACTGACTTCCACTCAGAACAGGCTCCTAACAGATATTTTCCACTGAAACAGAGGGAAGTTACAATTCCCAGTGGAGCATCCCCAGGAGCAGGCGGGAAGAGGCAGCTGTGGACTTGCTCTTCCGTGGCTTCCCAGCAGGACTAGGGCAGCTCCAGAAACTAAAGACCCTCACCTTTGAGGACCTGAGAGATGGAGTGGCACCAGGGATGTCACAGGCCCCAAAATCCTGGAGGTCCTGAAATTGGTCATCCCGTCACCTCCCCTGGGCTCCAACAATGTGGGATTTGGCCCTGTTGGATGGAGTCCTCCAGGAGGTGGGAGGAACTCCCTGTCGGAGGCTGGGCTGGTTGCAACAGGCAGAATGCAGAGGCCCCGGTTCCTACTCCTACAATGGAAACTCTAATGAGAGAGCCCCACCTTGGTCTCCTTCTTCAAGGTCCTTTCTAACATATGTGCCTTTGTCCCCTTTTAAGTTTCTCTATTTTTCTTGTGTGATACAGATGAATAGAAAGGATCAGATAATTTTCACTGTGGGTACCATAAACATCTCACTCTCTGTGGCTCAGAAGAACCAATAAGAGGCAGCGAAAGGCATGTGAAACTGGGTTTGAGGTTCTGGCCCAGCTCCGCCACAGACTCTGCTTTTCTCCCTGGGTCTTAATATGCCTCAGCTATAAAATGGGCCATAATGTCTCTGTGCCTAACTCCCAAGCCTTTGGCAGAAGTTGATAAAATACATTGACATCAGAAGGTTCTGGAAGCATCAGGTCCTTTGCCATGGGATTCAGTTATTATTATTTTTTAATATTTTTTAGTTGTAGATGGACACTATATCCTTACTTTATTATTTTCATGTGGTGCTGAGGATGGAACCCAGTGCCTCACACATGCAAGGCAAGTGCTCTACCACTGAGCTACAGCCCATGTCCCAAGATTCAGTTATTATTATGGAAATGCCACAGAGTTTATGGAGGCTTGTGTCTATCTAGTGTAACAGCTTCCAAGGGGTGGCTTTATGAAAATAAAGGGTGAATTCACATGACATCATTTACAAAAAAAAAAAAAAGTAAATAGTAGAAAGATCAGCAGAGTAGAAGGAAAGAAAGAGGGGGAGGGATGGGGGGAGAGAGGGGAAACACTGGGGACTGAGCTAGAGCAAATTCCATTCCATACCTTTATAATTATGTCCAAATAATCCTAGTGTTATGTATAACTAAAAAGAACCAATAAAAGAAGAAGAAAAATAAAGAGAAAATGTTGGCATCTCCTGGGGAGTTCAGAGGTTCTGCAGCCTGGTGGTCCATGGGAGTCGAGCTAGTGCTAGGATGTGCTGCCTGTCAGCAGCCCCTGCGCTCCACCCTGTCAGCAGATCATCCTGAACAGTTGCTTGACAAGATTTCTCAGCCCCCTCGGCTCCTCCCACCATTTCTAAATGACCCTCTTTCCTCCCCAGCACCAGGAATGACTCTCCCAGGGGAAATGACATAGATGAGACCGATGGTTTAGGAAATTAATGAATAACCTAAAAACAAACCAAATCCGAATATTCCACCACGCCTGGCAAAGTATGGGATCCGTCCATCTCCTATGGAGATTCTGATCCCACACTGAGACCAAGGCTGGCAGTTTTCCCAACAGGTCTTTAGGCCACACATAGCTCCCAGGCTATCGGTAGCTTCCCATTGGGGCGCACTCTCAGTCAGCTCCTGTTCCCCCAACCCTGGCCTCCCAGCCCGGGGCAGGACCTTGCAGTATGCAGGAAAGATGCTCTCAGACCTGGCTCTGACTTCTGGGCTGCTACTGCTGTGGCACTTTCCTTCGGAGGGTAAACACAGTCACTTGTGGAGGAGGCTGTCACCTTTAATTTTCCCCTCCACTGTGACTTCTGGCTCCCCACACCCAGCCCTCCCCACCCCTCCAGAGCACCAGGAACACAGACGTACCATTGTTTTGTTCTCATATGTGTTTATTGAGTGCCCACGGGGCCCGTGGTACTGTGCTCAGGGTTCGGAGCCACTGTCTAGTCCAAAGGAGACCAGAGCTAGTACAGAGAATTTTTCATAGCTGCATAACATCTGTTAAGGGGTAGGGAAGGGGAGAACTAATCACAAAACAAATTCCTATTCGAAAGCAACAGAATCTCCTCTGAGAGTAATATATATGGTACGCGCACACACCCAGGCGCACGCACACACGCACGCACACACCCCTCTGGATGAACACGGAAGTATACCCACTTGGTTGTATATGCATGCATATACAACAGTGTTTGTGGGCAAATAAACTAATATATATATGCTGTGCACACACACGCACGCGCACACACACACCACCGCACAGACAGATAATCTGGCTTATGCTATCAAAGACACTAGTCTCCAGGTTCTAGTGGAAGCAATCTGTCCTAGATGCCTGCAGCATGCAAAACTTGGAAGATCCAGAGTCACAGTTTAGGAGGACGATGGGGAGGACACAGGGGCTTTTCCATCCTCAGGGCCCAGCCACAGCGCATGAGGTTGCTCTTTGTGGGCGACGAAAAAAAGCCTTTGTGGCAGGCTCCCAGGGCAGAGCGGAGGAGCTGGAGGCCTTCCGTCCATGGCGGGGCCCACGGGAGCCCTGGTGAGTCCACCGATCTTCAAGGCAGAATTGAAAGCTCTGGTTTTCGAGTGTGTAGTCCTGCGAACAGTGTTCCTGGGGACAGCGCGGCAGATCGAGGTGAGAGTTCCTTTTCCCGCTCGTTCTCTGCGCTTTCCCACATGTGCTAACGCATTTTGTAGTCATTAGATACAGATGTTTCACACAGCTGTCCCTTAAAATCCAAGTCCACTGTGAAATCGAGGTCTCGCTGCAAAGAAAGGGCAAGGGGTTGCCGCGTTAGCTTGGGTAGGGAAGTGAGCCCTCCTCCTGGTGCCGGGCGGGTGGGCAGTCTGGGGCTTCTTAAGGGTTTCTAGCTAGGGCCTCTCCGTGAACCGTCCTCAGGATCTATTCTGGTGCCTCATTATTCTCATAGGAAGTTCTTTGATTTTTAACCTAAATCCTATCTGTTCTAGTGTAAAAATGTTCTCTCAGATTTCATCCTGGGAAAAAAATGGGGCAGTGTGGGGGGGAGTGCTTGAATGTTCTATGCCATAACCCTCCAAGTAGTCTGTAGACTTGGGGTTACTCAAGAAGAACTGGTGTCCGATCTACCAAGCCAGATGAAGAAATACAAACCAAATGTCGTCCAGACCCCAGAAACTGTTATTTCCTGGCCCAGCTCATCCTAACCAAGGCAGAACCCAGTCATTCGACAGAGTCCATCCTCAAAGCACCTCATGTGAAGGGCAGGGAGCTGCCCTCAAGGCTGAGAGTCCAGGGGGAACCTAGAGAAGGCTCCTGGTTGCCCGATTTTGAAGAGTGAAGGTGGGAGTCCTTCCATTATGCCCAATAGCATTCACCCCCAAAGGTGGCCAGCTACTGCCTCCCTTGGGAACTTTTCCAGTTGTACACATGACGTTTGATCCTGGGAGAGTGAGTCCTGGGGGCTCCCTAGGACCTTTCTCCTTGGTGACCCTGGCCACACCAGGCTCCTCAGCACTCACCACGTTTTTGGCATTTGGCTTCATGGATATGGTTCCATAGATTTCCTCCCCCCTCCGGACAGTGAGGTAATCTTCCAAGTAGAAGACGGTCTGCTTCCAGTGGGTGTAGGGAGCATCAGGGGCTGAGGGGTGAAGAAGGAGGAGTCAGAGGTTATGTCTGTAGAAGGGCGGCGAGGCTTCCCATGGGACTCACTGACGATCTTGTGGAGTCAGATGCCCAGTCTGAGCCCCCACCAGAACGCCCCACTCAGCCCCAATGCCCTCTCTTCCCTTCAAGTCCCCACCCCTGCAGGGCTGTTGTTCACAACCACGGATCAGCGGAGAGAGAAGCTGATGTTACAAGTTCATACCAAGGGTGCATGATGAATGCCCTCTCATCAACGAACCTCATTAGCGCCAATGAACTCACCACGCCGCTGTTTTAATTAGTTCAACAGAGTTCAGACTTTCAAATAGTGTGGGGGAAAATTTGTGTAGTCGGCCCCCCATCTCCCCTGAAATGGCATCATTTATGCAAACTCCATGGCTAAACCAGCTTCCTGATTCCTTTGACATCCCATGTACTTGATCCTCAGTCCTCAATAGCTTTTCCTGCCTGTGACTCTGTGTCCTGGAACTGAGCCCAGCACCCTGGTCCAGGGCTACTGTGGGGTCCCAGCTGTGCCTTCCTTATTGGACTAGAAAGAAACAAGGGATGATTCTCACTCCACAGCTTCTACCCACTGGTGCATAGTTCATATATCCCACATGCTCCGCAGCCACCACGATGCCCACAGCACCCCAATATTATCCACTGAACCCCCTCAGCACATGGCATATTCTCCAGCTAAGCATGAGGGTCCTGCCTTTGGAGACATCATCATCTTTTTGCAGCAGCTGACTCTGGAACATTCTTCTCCTCCTTTTCCCTCATCCCTTGTGGTCAGCCTTCTCTGGACACTCCCTGAGCTGAAGTCATCACAGTCCAAATGCCTCCACCTCCACCACTCATTTGCCTCTTCCACAAGCCACAGTCCCCGTGAAAGCAGGGACATGCCAGCCCTGCTGATGATCATATCCTCAGTGCCTGCCACTATATTCAGTCGTAAGTTTTAAATAAATGGATGATGGCAAGAACCCAAAGAGCAGATCCCTGTGATGCTTCGACGTACCCTGAGATGGTCAGTGATGCTGGGAATCTATGGATTATAGAAGAACTCGCTTTATAGCGAGGTCCTTGTCCAAGGCTATTGCTCTCCTCTGCCACCTTCCTCTTTGTCATCTTGTGTCAGAGATGACAAGACTTGGGGAGACCCGATGAACGCCTTTCAAACTTTTCAAAAGATGCCACCTAGAGAGGCTTATATGTGGCTCTGTAGCCTTGGGGCAGAACAAAGGCTAGTCACCAGGAATTACTGGAAGGCAGATTTCCAGTTCACCAGGAAGAATCAGAGCTGTCTCGCAATTATACCAGCTACCTAAGGCCCAGCCCGGGAGGGGCTCACAGGACCACCCTGAGTGAGTGCAGTCATCACATACCAGCTCAGACCAGGTGACCTCTAAGATCTTTCCAAACCCTGAGATCTCTGTTAATGGTGGTGAAGAGTCTCTCTCTGCCCTCTGCAGTGAACTGGCTTGATCAAATGTCAGTGGTTTGGATAGACTCCCGCAGCCTTCAAAGTGCTCATTTGGAAATCAATGTAAACTCAAGGTCACGGGGAGAAAGCACAGTCTGTGCACTTGGAAGGAGAAGGAGTACCTTAAATGTGCAACCTGTGCGTCTCAGACCCTGGGTCCTCACACGCACCCAGCCTGCCCAGCCTCCCACATACTGCTGCCGTGGACAAGTCCACCTGCTCCCAGCACACTTCCCTGCCAACGACCTCTAAATAAATTGTCAAAAGATGGCTTCTGGTTGTCTGTGGAGCATGTCAGTGTATGACTGACAGCACTCTCGCCCCCACTCCCACCTACACCAGCTCAGACAGGTGTCTCTTTTTCCTAAAGACCTTCAGGCAAGGGGACTCAAGCAGCCTCTTTCTGTCACCCAATCAGATGCTTTCTGAGAAACCAAGACGTCACTGGCTCAGAATTGCTGGCCAGTGAACCCAGAAGTCTGAATCGGAAGGTGGCCTAAAAAAAAAAAAAAAAAAAAACACACACACACACACACACACACACACACACACACACACACCAGCTCCAGATTGGAAGAAAATTATTTTTCTATCAACATCAACACCAAAAGGTTAGAGATTTCCCCCAAATATCTATTTCCACGGTGGGTCCCTTAGCCATGGGCTAATTGTCTAAACCAGTTTTCTGAATCCTATTTCTCCATCAAAGTATTCAGTAAAATTTAGAATCTGGATGTTTGAATCTATTCCAAGAGATGGCAATACAGTAACTCTAGGGAGGAGGGTGAGGGGACAGCTTGCCAAGACATAAAACCTCCCCCCAGGTAGTGTGGACACACAGCCAGGACTGAATCACTGTAGGAAAGACATTTAATTAGGCGACCATCAGCCCTGTTTCCAGTCTTTACTTTGCCACAGACCTGCCACAGACTGGGGCTCATGTTCTACATCTGTGGAATATGGGACATGATACTTGTTCCCTGAGGCAGTGTGAGGATGAGATGAGAGGAGAAGGGGGAAGCGTCATATGCTAAGGGTGACCCAGTCTCCTGCAGTGCCGAGGACAGTCCCAGTTTATGTCTGTTTTCCTGGCATAATTATTAATAGCTCTCCCTTTTATTTGCAGAAGCGTCCTTAATTGAAAGATAAATTATAAAGTTAGCCTACCTATAACATATTAGGCTTGCGTTTAGGATATCACTAAGCCATTGCATCTGGTAATTATTTAATCACTACATAAAGTGGTATGTAATTTTGTTCGTCCATCAACTGTGGCTCTGGTCTGCAAAGGTAAGCTCCCTCATTCGAGCAGCCTAGAATATCCTGGGAAGGATCTGGAATGCTGCTGCATAGCAAAAGGGTAAGCACCCAGCACAGGGCTGTTGGTGACATCTAGAGCTCTCCATGTGAGTGACAAACCTTGCCTCTCTCCCCTACCCCAACTGCAACTCTGGAGATGGTACTGGCTTTCAGCTTTCCCTAGTGTGGCAAAGCCTTCCTCTTGGAAATATTCTGGCCCCACCTGCCTGCCTCCACTTTTCTCCCTCTCTTGAGCCTCCTCCCCCTCAGTCTCTCTGGGTTTTAGATTCTGGACAATGTGTGTTCTGTATTTTGAAGCAAATGTGATCAGTACTGTCCATAGCACCCCAAGTGCGAATGCACAGATTCGTTCACTCAGTAGATCTTTGTTTAGGAAACTTATGTGCCAGCTCCCCACCCCCTTGGACACATCCTCAGTGGGGCGGGGGAACAGCAACCAGAATGAACAGAGCTTTGCATGCCCCTCACCCCTGCAGGCCCTACAGCCTGACGAGACAGTCAGGTGGACAGTGAGAGACACAGCATGAAGGACAGAGTTGGAAATAGAGGAAGCTGTGGCAGGGGGCTCTCATTAGATTTTTCCTGGTGCTTTTGGAAAGGGAAACTTGATTCCTCATGACTAAGTGGCTGAAATTTCTTTCTGAAATATAATAACTTTCCTAGTTGTAAATTTGGAATTATATTCCCTAGGGAATTCACATAGCTTTTAAAGAACTACCATGTACCAAGAAGTTTCTTTGACCTAAGAAAATAACCCAATGTCACAGGATGGCAAAGCTGGAGCTGGGCTGCTTAAGTCCAAGAGCCAGAAAGTAACTAATTCAAGGACATCTCCAATGAATGGTCAGCCCATCTTGAAGATTTTTCCAGGAAAAGCAGGTCTTGAAACCAAGCCTGCTTTCACCTGGCCTACTGCCTTCCACCTACTACACAGTTTTCCTGGATTGAACAGAAGCCCCAAGGGTTCCCAGTGCCCGTTTCCTACCCCCGCCCCACTGAAGATGTGTCCAAGGGGGTGGGGACAGCTCTGCCTGCTGGCTGGCAGAGTCTGGAAGCCTGGGTGCCTGTGCCTATTTGTGACAGCTTCTGCCAGAGCTGCAGAGATGCCGGAGCCATTAACAGGGATCATTTTCAGGCTGCACAATATGTGATGTGCTTTGGAGTGGGCCCCCCAGAGCCAGCTGCGCCTGGGCTGGGCTGAACAACTCAGTCAGCCGTTGTGGGGGAGGGGTCCCATCAGCAGGTTCTGATTTGCATGAAATTCAAAAACAACGGAGACCAAAAAAATACTTTGTTTAGGCAGATTCATACTGGTGATAAAACATTAAAAATAGCAAGGGAATAAGGAACACAAAATGCAGGATAATGTTCAACTGAAGGCCATATAAAGGAGAAGAGGATAGAAGTGAAGCATACTAGGTAGGTGCAGAGGTGTTGATACAACATTTAAGTCACTGAGTTCTGTGGGCTCACAAGGAGTTAGATAACTATTATTATTATTAATATTATTAATAGTATTATATTATCATAACAAGATGGCTATTAATTAACATTGATTAGAAATATAATCATATTTATTAACAATGTATTTCTAGTTGATATTTATAGTTTAGTGATTATTTATTGTTTAATCACTAACAGAGTTACATTCTGATAGAAATAATAAATTTATTGCTAGTTACTACTTGCATTCTAGTTAACGCTACTTTATTGACATCCTAGCTTTTTAGTTAGGTGGTGAGTTCATGAGTGTTGGTGATATTAAAAAATAAATAAGCAAAAAGTGACCCAGGTGGGCTGGGATGGTGGCTCAGCAGTAGAGTGCTCGCCTAGCATGTGTGAAGCCCTGGGTTCCATCCTCAGCACCACATAAAAATAAAATAAGGATACTGTGTCCACCTACAACTAAAAAAATAATAATAAATATTTTTTTAAAAAGTGACCCAGGCATGGTCCAATGATGGCTGTGTGTCATAAACCAAGAACCAGGGTTAATCTAATTCTGTGTATCTGAGATCCTCAAAAACAAAAAGGAATTGCTTGGTCAGTGGTCAGAGGGCAGATGTCTGAGTAGAGCCCACTGTCCAACACAAATGATCCAGTACAGAATGCAGCTGCATACTGGATACAAACCCCACACTCACACCCCAAGTTGGCTGAGAAAGCAGCCAAACAAATACTCCCCCTGATGTCTACCCACTCCAGATTGCTGTAGGCAAAAGTAAACTGTGTCTATTCCAAAAGCACAAAGTCTCAGTGAGTGCAGAGGAGACAGAATCGCCTTTCCAGAGGGGCTGCACATTGGTCTCATTCTCAACCACATTATGGAGGACAGTCTTTCACAAAGACAGTGGTTCCCAAACTTGAGCAGACACTGCAACTAACTAGAAGTCTTGTTAAGAGCCAGATTGCTGGACCCCACCCCAGAGTTTCTGAGTGAGTGGGTCTGAAGTGAGGCCTTACGCGCTCTCTGGTGATGCTGAGGCTGCTGGTCCATGGGCCACACTACACCAAGGCATAGGAGCAGAGGACTTGCAGGGGTTCCAAATGTCTTATAGCCTAACTTTATGAAATTCTGTGCACCCTGTTACCACCAAAAGACAGACACTGGAGCAGGCTTTCACCTGGATTTAGACCACAGTCCGTGAGTTTATGTGGGAGGGTGGTAGGGGTGTGGCTAACAAATAGGAAGAAAATGAGCCATGGGTTAGACCTCATCTTTGGGACAAATCCTCACTATCAGGAAGCCCAGACTCTGGACTCCAGTTTCACCAAGCCTCCACCACATGGGCCACTGGGAATGTTATCCCTGCCACCCACAGAGCCAAGAGACTGCTTGGATTGGAGAAGAGATCATTTCAAAGGGAGGCAAACCTTGCTGAGTGCTGCAGAGCTAGAGCCAGGCTTTAGAAACCCACACCTTTTTCCAGAGTGGCTTCATCTACTGACTTTCTCATCACCTGCAGCAGGGCAGGCCCTGGGCAGATCCCAACACTGTGTCCCTGACCACAGCCATGGTCCTCCAGCACGCTCGTCCTCAGCTCTCTCACTGTCTCCACTCCCTCACCGTCACTGGGACTGAGCTTTATGTATCCTTCAAGGTCAAGTAAAATCTTCCTTGTCTGTCCTGGCTGTCCACTGAGAAGGTGAACTCCCCTAGTCCCTCTCTAAGGAGGGTAGCAGCTGTAGGATGGCCTCCTAGACCAGGGAAGGTTCTGGCTTTCCCCAGGGCAGGAGGGCACCAGCATAGACAAGCTGATACAGACAAGAAAACCTTGACCATTTAGGGGAAGACTGGTTCTGGGAAAAGCATTTCTAGAAAAGATCAGGGAAGCCTCTTGGCTTCTCTATCCACAGGTAAACAAAGAATCTTCATCATCCCGATTTCAGAAAGTTCATAATCATATCCTCCAATCAACTCCCCTTCCTCTTCCCCTGATGCACACACACTCACCCATCCTCTGAGGATGGGCTTCTAGTCCCAGGAAGACTTCCGTCCCCTTATGAACACAAAGGCAGAGGCACAGCATCCTAGACTCATGTAACAGAGATGCGTATACAATGGTGTTGTAGAAGCCAGGAGTGCAGAGACGAATGGAATGTGATTCCTACTCCGGGGAGACAGGTAGTCTCAAGAAGAATGGAAATGCTGAATAAAGAATGGCTTCCCCTATGGAATCCCATGGAGTTGCTTAAAGGGAAAGAAAGGCTATGGAAATATCTCCAAGATATGTTGTCGAACAACAAAAAGGTAGCAAAGGGCAGGATGGGTAGGATGACTCAACCAGTGGTTTGTTCAAGGATGTCGTTTTCATATTGTGTTACGATTAAATAAAATGCCACAAGTGGGGGAAACTGGTGAAGAGCTCCCAGAACTCTGTGGGCTATTATTGCAATTTCCTGTGAGTCTAATAACTTCTTCAAAATAAAACACAAAAGCAGTATGTATAAATACCTACATGCTTGAGCACCCACTGAGGTATTTTGGAAGGACATGAAAGAAATCATTAATCACATATGCCTCTGAGGAGGGGCCGGGACACAAGGGGCAGAGAATTTGTTCCTTGACGTGTTATCTTGTTTTGAACCAATTTCTTAATGTTACTGTGCATAAGTACCACTCTTAACAGAGGCATAACAGGCATTTACAGGGGATGTTAGGGGCCCTAAGAAAGACTCCTAAAGTTGACCTGAAGGAAAGGCGAGGACCAAGTGACACCTGAGCTGTCAAGAGGTGAAGCCTGTGGTGGAGTTGACCAGGAAAGGAGGTAGGGACTGGGAAGGTACTGTGAGCTGAACCGTAGCCACTCATGTCCATATTGAAGTCCCAACACCCAGACCCTCAGACTGTGACTCTATTTAGAGATATGACCTTTAAGGAGGTGATTGAATTAAAACGGGCCCTTAGCATGGACCCTAACATAGTCTATTGTCCTTATAAGAAGAGATTAGGAACATGAAGAGAGAGCCTACAGAATGGGAGAAAATCTTTGTCACCTGCACCTCAGATAGAGCAATAACCTCCTGGATACATAAAGAACTCAAAAAATGTAACACGAACAAAACAAATAACCCAATCAATAAACAGGCAGATACTTCACAGAAGAAATACAATCAGCCAACAAATATATGAAAAAAATGTTCAACATCACTAGCAATTAGAGAAATGTAAAATAAAACTGCATCTCATCTCAGTCAGAATGGCTATTATCAAGAATAAAAGTAACAATAAATGTTGGTGAGGATGTTGGGGAAAAGGCGCACTCATATATTGCTGGTGGGACTGCAAATTGGTGCAATCACTCTATAAAGCAGAATGGAGATTCTTCAGAAAACCTAGAATGGACTCACCATTTGACCTAGTTACCCAACTCCTGGGAATATACCCAAAGGACTTAAAATCAGCATACTATAGTGACATATCCACATCAGTGTTTATAGGAGCTCAATCCACAATAGCTAAGCTATGGAACCAACTAGGTAGACTTCAACAGATGAATGGGTAAAGAAAATGTGGTATATATACACAATGAAATATTACTCAGCCATAAAGAAAAATGAAATTATGGCATTTTTCAGTAAATGGATGGAACTGGAGACTATCATGCTAAGTGAAATAAGCCAGTCCCCCAAAACCAAAGTTCAAATGTTTTCTCCCATATGCAGATGCTGACATCTGTGGTGAAGGGGCAGAAGGGGAGGTTCACTGGATTGGACAGGGAAGAGTGGGGGGAAGGGAGAATGGTGGAAATGGGAAAGGCAGTAGAATGAATCAGACATAACTTTCCTATGTTCATATAGGAACTCACAACCTGTGAAAGTCCTCATCGTGCACAACCACAAGAATGGGATATTCTAGTCCATGTATGTATAGTATGCCAAAACACACTCTACTGTCATGTATAACTAAAGAGAACAAATAAAGATTTAAAAAAGCAAAACAAAACAAAGACAGAATAAGAAGAAAAGGAGAAGGTTGGGATGCACAAACAAAATCCCAGGGTGCATGAGGAACCACCATGTGGGATACAGTCAGAAGATAGCCATCCGCAAGCCAAGGAGAGGGGGCTCAGGAGGAGCCAAACCTGCTGACACCTGGGTCTTGGAGTTCTAGTTTCCAGAATGTGAGAAAATAAACATCTGCTGTCTAATCCCCACACCCCAGGGTCTGTGGCACCTCGTTCTGACAGCCCAACATGGGAGGAAAGGGGATCGCAAAGCCTTGGGATCTGGGACCCTCCCACCCCGGGACACACTCTGGATGCACAAGGGAGTGGTGTCTGCAGAGGCAACAGCCCAGAGACACAAGAAGCCTCCTTGAATTTTTGTCCCCCAGAAGTTGTTGTGTTGGAAATGTGGTCTCCGATGCAGCACTGTTGGGGGTGGGGGGCCCTTGGGAAGTGATTGGGTCAGGAAGGTTCTACCCTCACAAATGGATTGATCCATGCATAGTTGGATGGATTCACGGGCTTTTGGGGGAGCAGCTTGTCATAAAGGCAAGCTCGCCCCCCACACTGGCTCACTTACCACATGCTGCCTCTATCGTGTTGTGATGTAGCACAAGGCCCTCATCAGAGCCCAGCAGGTGCCAGCACCATATTCTCGAACTGCCTAGCAGCCTCCAGAACCAAATAAATTTCTAGTCTTTATAAATTATCCAGTCTCAAGTATGTTGGGACAGCAACAGAAAACAGACTAAGACAGTACAGATGATCTTTGGGGAACTTAACCAGGGACTCAATGAAGGATGGATTGGGATAGACGCACAGGGGAGAAGAAGAGATCAGTTTGTAGTCTAGTGAGATCGGTAGAATGCTAACAGAGGCATTGCCGTGGAGCTGGAGGAGTCTCATTCAATCCTGGGTCCTTACCTCTCATACAGAATATGCTTCAGTAAATGAAAATGGAAGAGTCTCTGGGGGTCCTCAGAAGTTTCCCCCTGCCTCCCCCTTGCTTGCTCTCAGCTCTGGGAGCATCAACCACATTTGGTTTACCTTCTCCTTGGGGAGCCAGTGTGTGGGACATGCCATTTCTCCCCTGCCTGAACCCCAAACACCTTCTCCATCAGTCGAGGCCAGACTGGGTCTTGCCCACAAAGCTTCAGGGAAGCCCCGAGGAGGAGAGAACCAAGAAACAGCTCACCTGTGGAAAACCCCATTTTCTTGTGGCACTTGGTAAATTCAATATTAAAATAGGTGACCAGGGCGTGGACGTAGTCATTGCGCTGTATCTGCAGGCAGAACGCAGATGTGAACGATAGCTCCTCCGTCTTCACCGTGTAGATGTCCACCTCCTGCGGTGCAGACAGGAGAGAACGCTGGAAACGTGTGGCCTCCACCAGGGCCAGGGCCTGGTCAGTTGACTCACTCCAAGAGAGACTGTGGGCAGTGGCCTCTCTGGGGGTGTCATTATTCTTAGAGTGAATCCAGGCCCACCCTCCACCCTCCCGGTGACCTCCTCCATCCATTCTAGGGTGGAGGGTGCTCAGGGAATGGTACAAATGGACTTGAATTAAAAACTGAGGGGAACAGAATGTGGGAGGTAAATCTGCTGGAGATGGGCCCTGGAGGGGGCTGGCAGGGAAGAGAAGGGTCCATTAGACAATGAACCCCTGAACTGATCATGGTCCAGACACTACCTCCATCCAGTTATCCTCAAAGTGTGGGCCCCAGATGGTCAGCATCCATATCACCTGGGAGCAAATTCTGAGTGGGGCAGGGAGGGGTCCCAGACCTATTGAATCTAAACAGCAGTCTGGATTTATCAGGCTCTCCCAGGGATTGGCATGAACCAGACCATTTATTTCCTGTTTTTTTTTTCTTCTTCTTCCTTTCTTTCTTTTCTATTCAAGCTCCCAGTAATAGGAGACACTGAGCATTGTCTCAGGAGTCAAAGCCTCAGCTCACAAAGTCACAGACTGAACTGAAGGAAGTTCTCTCAAGCATTTATAACAAGGTTGGACAGTTTTTCAAAAAATAAATAAAAGGGAGAAATAAGAGCGAGAATTTTCAGGCCTGGCCAGGGAATGTGGAACACAAAGAACTAATAATTCTCACAATTTCAGCCCGAAAGTGACTGGAAATCAATCTCGCGTGGGGAGCAAGGGTAATAGAGAGACGAGTCTACCATGTGCTGTTCTTTTGAGTGTGGAGGACGCAGACTTGTTGTTTGCTGGCTGCCATGAGACAGGGAGACCCCACCAGGAGCCCAAGAAGCATTCAGACAGATTCTAGAGAGGCCCAAGGAAGAACTCCCCACAGGTCATGTTTGTGTAGCAAGAACCACTGTCCTGAAAATTCTCTAAGAGCCAGACAGACACCTGTGTGCTTCCTGGTTCTAGGGGTCCTCCTGAGACCCAGAAGCAGGATGGAGGAAGACACAAAGTAGCATTGAGAAAATAGCTTTTATCTCTCTATATTTCTAGGATAAATAAAGAAAAAAAAAAGAGATCCATAGTTGCCTGGGACCTGCAAAGAGAAGTCCTGGATCCACAGAGATGGAGAGAGGAGGGAGAAGAGCCGTCATGGCTGATCATATGAGTCCTGCTGTGGCCTGGGTTGAGCAGCCGTGAAGGCCTCTGGGAAACTGAAGCTCTCTGACCGTTGTGAAGAGGGTGGGATTGCAGGGCCTGGGGAAGGTGGTAGCCCCTCAGTGAGTTGACTTTCCAGCGCAAGTTGCACTGTGTTTTCTGGGTTCTGATAAAACTATTGAAGGGTGAGCCCTGGCCAGGCATGCAAAAGTTGATGGGATTGTACGCCATGACCCCTGGAGCAGAGCCCTTTATTCAACCTAAGAATCCCAAATCCCTCTGCAGCATTCCCAGCCAGTGTCCCTCTGGTGTTTGCGGAACCCTTTAGGGTGCTGCACTCCCCACCCACGGGGCAGCTCACACCACATCCAGACATCTCCAACCACGAGGTCCCTCTTTAGAACCAGACAGCCCACTCCGTCTCTGCAACTTCCACCCACAGAAAAGGCCAGTGGCTCTTCCCACTCACACAGGCCCCCTAAACCGTGTCTTCTGTAACATGGATTGTCCCTGGTTGGCAATTTCTCCTAAGTCATGGTTTCGGACCCCTTGTCCTCCTGGCCTTTCTCCTCTGGTGAGTTCCACCACTTTCACAGCTGACCATGATGCTGACCCACATCAGCCCTTCCTTCTCCATTTGGAACATACTTCTAGAAGCCCCCCCGCCACCCATGCCATCCTGTCGGTACAGGCCAGGGCCCAGTCTGGGAAACCCTCATAGACTCAGCACCCATGGGCCTTCATGGTGCTAACTGTCCCTCCAGCCACACATGATCCACAAGTTCCCTCCAGCTCCTGAGCGCTAGAGTGAGCATGGGTGACCCTCATGGTTATTAATGCCACCATCGTGGTCCACCTGGCTTGCAGTGTCCACACACAGTGATTTTTCTATCTCCTTCTCAGCCAGGGACAGCCAGGCTCCAGGTCCTCTCCAGGGTCCTGGGCGTCTTTCTGTTTAGGTCCCTCTGCCACCAGCCCAGCCTGGCTTCTGGCTCATCTCCGAAGCCTCATCACCTCTATCCTCATTCCTGCCCTTGAGATGCAGAAGCTGCCCCTCGTTGTCCTGGGCATCCTTGTTGAGTGACACAGCACGCCAAACACAGTAATGTGTGTTGGACGCATCTTCTCAGAACAGATCTCCCTGTTGAAGTCTTTCCTTCCTTCCCCAGGTCTCTCATAACCATGAACCAGCAAAACTCCTTAAGGTTCATTCAGAGGATGCTACTCCCTGGATCCACAATCTGCAATGACTCCCTGTGGCTTATCAGCTAGACTTGGTTACTTTCTCCTTCTAGACTCCCCTCACTTCTTAATTGCTTTTAGGACACACACACACACACATACACACACACACACACACACACACACACACACACACCACCCCATCCAGTAGGAACTCTACTTCTAGCCAGTTTTTTCTTGCAGTCAAAAGTCCATCAACCAAATGTCAGCTGTCATAATCTTTAGCTGACTGTGTTCACTAAGTCCTGAAGACATTTGCATTTGAATAACCCCCCTCCTCAGAACAAAAGCCTTCAAGGGGACAATAGTGGAGCTATACATTAAACTGGCAACTACAGAGGCAGCTGGTCCTCTGGAGTGAGGGTCCTGCCGCTTGTAAGAGTGGGATCAGTCATGGCTGGGCTTTGCGGACAAAGGCCCCTGGGTTCATGCCCATCCCCCTTCAGATCCAAAGGTTTCAGATCAGCCCCCTTATTCTGATCCCCAGAGCCCTTTGCTGGAAGGTTTCTTTCTTTCCACAGACGCAGCAGCCTCTTGGAGACCCCAGGGAGACCCACTGCCTTGGCCTCAGGCAACCCCAGCAAGCGGAGGTTTCTCTGGAGTAAATTACTCAGAAGAGCCCCTGGCCGCCGCTGTCCTGCCTCTAAATCATGTTACAAATGGATGTCTCCAAGCAGAAGTCTGGTCAAAACAGAGTCTTAATTATAATAAAGTGTCACACTAGGCAATGTTAATAACGATGAAAATAGCAATTAAGTGTGTGAAGAAGGGCAAGCATCTTCCCAAAAGGTGGGGCCAGACGCTGCTTAGCACATTAGCAAGAGAGCTGATGGAAGGGCTCCCCTGGCCGCAGGAGCAGACACAGCCAGCCAGTCCCCCTCAGAAAACAGGAAGGGAGGCTGGGGTGGGGGGAGGGGCAGGATGGCATCACAGATGTCCCCTCCTGAGACACCATCAGTGCCCCTTAGTTTCATGAAGAGTGTGTGAGAGACACCCCCCTCCCTCCTGTCCCTCCATGATCAGTCTGGCTGCTTTGTCCCTGGATGCACTCAGGGGCAACCACAGGAGGCGCCCTTGCTGGTACTGGGCTGAGAGGTGGGAGGAGGAAGGACACAGGCCCCCGTGGGAAGAAGCAGGCCAGTCCATGAGGAAACCAACAGGACCCAAAATGGAAGTGTAGGGGCCACGCCTGCAATGGGGGCTGGAGTCAAGTGCAAAAATCCATCAGATGTCGGAGAATATGGAAGGAATTTTATCCTCAAGCTGAAACCATTGCCTGAAGATGCCTAACGGTGGCTCTAGTTGCCATGTGTCGTTTTGACCAATGTGATGGTGCGGGTGGACTTCCACCTGTTCTACAATATTGACAGAAATGTCTTACACTGTGGGTGAGCTTCTTTTTGTATGTGTTTGGTGGGGGGTGCCTTTCTTTTCTTGTTCGGGCACCAGGTGGAGAGGCTTCAGGGTAGAGGGGCTGGTCTGAAGAAATGGCTCACAGTTAATCCTGCCTGCCACAGGAAGAGGCTGCTTCAGAAAGCAGTGGGAACCCTAAAAGCAGAGTCCCAGGCTTAGACTCGAAGCCAAACCTCTGAAGCAGGATGTCACCAACGGAGGGCATCTGATGAGGTCTGCATGAGGCTCTGCTATTTTATTTGCCCCTGAGGTTCCAAGGGATAGTCCAGATCATGGACTATAGTTCTGCAAAGGCCCATGCTCAGCAGGAGAGAACACTTCTCAAAGGGACAAAGCAGTAGTTTGCATCAATCTTTCAGAAACTTCAACTCACCCTTGTCGGCCCTGGACCCACCCTCCACCCCCATCTCACTGTGAATGTTCCAGTCCCTCCTTTCACTTTCAGGAAAAAAAAAAATGTCATCAGAGCGGGCAAGTATGTTTTAGCAAGACAAGAGTCAGGTGTCTGATGAATACTTTCAGAAAGAACCCATATGTTTAAATTAAAGATTAATTTCAGCCATGTGAAATTGATGTCTTCCACATAAAAAATTCAGATATCGGTAGTTTTATACAGTTCAACGTAATATATCGACACGTATAAATGCAAACACATAGAATGAGAACTGGAAGAGTCAATCCGACCTTGAAGAGCGGTCACCCCCGGAGGAGTATGGGATTGGAAGGGAGGGGAGGGAAAGAGAGCTTTCATCTGTGCTGTAATTGGGTGTGTTTGAGTAGCTGATAATAAGCATGCCTTGAGGACGGGTATGGAGAGGACACTGACCATCTAGCTGTTCATCTGCACTATGAAAGAAGGCCTTGGAAGAAAAGATATTAAAAGCAGAAACGAGCAAGCAGGACTAGGAAGGGGCCAGAAGCTCTGGCTGGGTCAGATGAGAGCTCTCGGAAGTGGAGACAATTGCATGGCAGACTGAGCTGGGGGGAGCTCTTTCCAGATGCACAGCCAGCTCTGAATGGACTCGCTTTCCCAAGCCTCACATACCCTCCTGGCTCCACAGCATCCTATCCTTTGATGACTGTCCCCCATCTATCCCTCTTCACACCACCAGGGCCCTGATCTGGACCCTCTTCCTTCAGCTGTGCCACCATGGAGTCCCCTCAGGGGATCTGCTCAGTGAGAACCCCAGCTTTTGGCTTGTCACCGCAGAGCACCCTGAGCTCTGGCCAAGGTGGCCTTGCATCACTGGGATGGGGCAGTGCAGGAGCTGGTTCTGCCCACACTCCAGGCCCACCCCATGCCTGGCTTTCCAAGGTGGCTCAGCTGGGTTCCCAGCATGCCCAGGCCCAACCAGGATGTCTCCAGACCTTTATTAAACAGGCATTGGTCACCACTTGCTTTGGATCCACGATGTCCACCAGGGGCTCCTTCATGGCAACGTCCCGGATGCAAGTCATGTCAAAGCCATAGACGTTCTCCCACCCTGTGGGGACAGAGCGAGATGTCAAGGCAGGCTGCAGGACCCCCGAAGCTCACGTGGTCTCCTCAGTGCTAGAGCACAGCCTGCTTCAGAAGGTGGGGGCAGCCCACGTTCCCAGCATCCAATGGAGTGAGCACTGCTTACCTGCATGGGGAGCTTGGCAATCTACCAATTTTTCCATTTTTATCTCTAGAAAAGGCAGGGCCCATTTTATAATTTGGTAAACTAGAGTTCAGAGAGGCTGGGAAACTAATTTCTCCAAGTTCACACAGGTAGAATAGAGCTAGGCTAAAACCAGAACCCAAATTACTCTTCCTGGTGTCTACTTTTGTGTCCCCTTGCTAAGCCGCGGAGTGTCCTATGAACTCCCTCATCTGCCAGCGGCTTTCCTATTTCTATGCTCAAGCTGTTCTCCTCTCCTAAAAGACCCCTCTCTCACCCTTCTCCCAGCCCCACCCATTGACCCTTTAATGCAGCCTAAGGAAGCATGGGCTCTTCAAGTGAAAGAGACTAGATGTGAATCCCCACACCGTCACGGACAAGTCAGGCCCTGTGCAGACTCCCCAACCCTCTGAACCTCAATTTTCTCCACTGAGTGAGTCCAAGAGAGCCTTCCTGTCTCCACAGGCCATGAAGCACTAAGGATCCATCCCATAAGGAATGGCCCACAGGTGGGGTAAAACCATCCCAGCCTTGTGTGTTGGCCTTGTTCTTCAGACTACTCATAAGATGCTTCTTTCAGAGGGAGAAAGATTTGGGGTCTCAGAGTTGGTGAGTAAATGAAATTAAATCACATGGCTCAAGGTCATCAATGATGGTCATAATTGCTACCACTGATCATCACCTTCATTGAATCTACCCAGCAACTCCTGGAGAATATCTCTGCACGAGAGATAAGAAATTTGTGGCTGGGAGAATTTGGCATCTGGCTCATACAAAAAAATCTGGCTCCTGTCACTCATTGGGGAAATCATGAAGGTAGGCATGGAGCCAAACTTGTCCCCCTAATCCTTGAGCATCAGAGACCCAACTGAGTCCGCCACAGCTATGTCACGTTCTCACCCCACTGTGCAGAGAGGCTGATTCCTGGGCAGCTGAATGTCATTTATCTGTTTATTCAGCCGGGTTTATAAATGCCTTGTAGTAGAAGTGCTTTTCTCTAAAATCTTATGAAGTTTAATTTTTTTAGAGCATTCATTAGGGGGAAAAAAAAAGTTCCTTGGGGAACCCATGGCTCTGTGTGTGTGGAGCAGAGTGGGTGGATGAGGAGCGGGATGAGAGTGGTCAATGAAAGACTGGATCCTTTGACTCAGATTCTTTCCTAAGGTACATAAAGACCTTTCTCAGGGAGAAAAGAAAGCAGGAAAAGTAATCGTCTCCCAGAGGGTGAGTACTTGTGAAATTCCAGCCTGAGGATAAGACGCCAGTCAAATCCCATTCAATCACCCAAGGTGGGTGCCAAACTCCCACTTGAAACCTACATAATGGAGAGGAAGCTGCCCGGTTGGCAATAGGACAGGCTACAGAGAAGTCTCCCTCCCAGAACCTGGAAATAGCCACTCATCCTCTCCCCAGATGAAAACACATACTAAAACACACTGCTTTCCGTTAAAACCCCCTTAAGAGACCAGCAGCCACGCCCCTGCTCTGTCTCTCCTGGATCCCACCATGACGTTAGAGTTCAGTGGAAGTGTTGGGCAAATCCTGAGGGTTGCTGAGGGTTGTTGGGCTTTGGAGTTCAAATCTGAGCTCTGCCATTTATTTGCTATGTCATCTTGAGCAAGAATGAATCCTCTCTAAGCCCGTGGCACTTTCTTCCTCTTTAAAATAGAGGTGAGGAACCCATTTCCAGAAAAAAAAAAAATTTCCTGAATGATCTTCTGGGTTGTGCCTTATGCCAGCAGTTCCAACTAAAGAGTATTCCTAAGAGAGTCTTCAAATACTCCCAGGGACAGGGGTACTTTAAGCGAATCCATTTCCAGCTCTTCCATTTCCATATGTACTCTTTCCTGAAATTGATTTGTCTAAGATGTCTACAGTTGAGATGTGAATCAGTTCTTGTTTCTCATATTTCTTTTCCTTGTCCATGTCACCCACCCATATCTTACTACATCCATCCTTCATGATGCTTAAAAAAAGACTCCAAATAAAGGTACAATTTGAAAAATAAATAAATAAAATAGAGATGATGATGATGATGATGATGATGATGATGATGATGATGATGATGGCGGCAGCTGCCGTCAGGGTCATTATGAGGATTAAATGTGATAGCAGTTGTAAAGTGCATAAGATCGTTCTCGGCACATAGAACTTGATACACAGCAGACATTATCATCTTTTGGCTTGTGCTCTGTCTTTGCTGCCTTCTGAGCTGTATGACACTGGGTTTATTTGTAAAATGAGAAATTTGATTTAGTGGTTCTGTGAGTTCATCTGGAACACAGTCTCAAATGCAGACTCCTGGGCCCATACAGGTCTGCTGTATCAATAGGAAATTAAGACACACGTAGAAAAGGGGGGGGAAAGACTTAATATCAAAAGAAAAAAGAGTCATCGGATCAGATTCAGACATAACTCACATGTTGGAATTAAAAGTAATTATAATAAGTATGTTCAAATATGCAGTGAAAAGGTTGACAACACGCATGGATAGATGGAGAATTTTACCAGTAAGATGGAAACAACTTTTGAAGTCAATGAAAATGCTAGAAAACAAAAATTACAGGAAGCTGGATTTTTAAAATAAAATCTATATAGGCAATTCCAACCAGAGTTTGGAAATCTTTGGAGTGTATGATCTTTAAAGTCTTTTTTCAAGTCCTGAAATGATGAACCTTGTGACACTTTCTCCAGCTACTCCTGACCGTGGGCCTCTCCTTCTGTATCCTTAGTATCTAGTCACAGCCCTTGGCATGGTACAGGGCCGAAGGTAACATAGTGCTTTTCACGTTGCAATCCATTCCCCAACATTTAATGCTATACCCCTTTGCAATGCCTGGTGTTTTCATTACCTTTCTAGGGCTTAACTGATGTCTTATCTCCCAGCTAGACTGCCCTACCTCCAACTCTTCAGGAAACAGATTAACCAGGGTAGACATTTTTTCTCCTTTCTGTTGACTGTTCACTCCCACTAGGCTCTTTTTCCAGAAGAAGAGCAGGAATGGGATATGTTTCAAATCAAATGCATTAACTTTTTATTGCAATTATGTATTATCTGTTGAATGAATGAATGTGAGGTAATGGCTACTAGCCACCAAGAAATATTGTTAGTTATCTAGCAGAGGAACCTGTGAATCTTTTGTTTATGGATTAAAATTAGCTTCTGAAAAGAACTGCACTGTGGTGTAATGAACATAACTACAGCAAACCACAAAGTCCACAACTACAGATTATACTGACTCAAACCCCCATTCTAATAGCCTGACAGAGGAAAAGCCTCTTTTCTGAGCATAAATATTATTCTTCCGTCTCTACTGTTCTTTTACCCACAATGTCTAGCATGAATGGAAAATTATAAGACACATGAAAAAGTAACTATACTAATTATGATAAAAGATCTAGAAAAAGGTAGACAACATTCATGAACATACATAGATTTTCATCACTGAGATGGAAATAATTTTCTTAAAGCCTATGGAAATGCTAGATCAAATTCACAATATCAGAGAGGAAGAATTATTTTAATTAGCTCATTAGCAGAATGGATACATCAGAGGCAATAATCAACAAACTAGAAATCAGGTCCAAAAAGGACAAACTTAAATACAATGAGAAAAAAATTAAAAAATAAACAAAGCATCCAAGAGCTATGGTACAACAACAAACAATACCTAACATATCTTTAATGGGAGTTTCTGATCAAGAAAAGAAAGAGATCAGACAGGAAAACACACACACACACAGAGAAACACACACACACACACACACACACACACACACATATATATATATATTTACACACCCAAGTATTGTGTAAGACCCCAATTAGGATAATACAAAGAAAAATACCCAGGTAAATCTATGTGAAACTGCTTAAAATCAAAATATAGAGAGAAATATTTTTTTAAAAGCCAGAGAAACAGAAATATGGAACAAATTTGACTTCTTATTGGAGTGAGCCATAGCTACATCCTCTCTCCATTTGTTGGCTCCAGAGATCTGAGTTTCTCTGCTGGGGCTAATGGCACTGCCTGAGAATGATGTCAGAGAAAACCAGCAGGGCCTTCTAGGCACTAATGCAATTTCTCCTCTATTCACTAGGGAAGATGTTCAGAATATTGGTATGCATCTTAGGCTCTCACCGTCAACTCCTTGCATAAAAGCGGGTGGACCCAAGAATAGCACTCTAAGTGCTGGGAGTAGAAATAAAGGAGAAACCCAGGGATAGCCACTAGCCCTCCAAGAGGAGCTGCCCTTCCACCCTTCAACTGAGGGTGAGCTGCTTCTGCACAAAGTCTCCCTCTCAGTCTTCTCACCATTGAGAAAGCTGGTGCCCATCTCTCCAAATCTCAGTGGCTGTAGAGAGTCATGTGTTGGGAATAAAATTGAATAGACAACCCACCACATTCCCTTCCAACTTGGAGATTCCATAAATGCCTTTTATAGTAGGATTTTTTTCCCACTGCTCCTCTCTCAGAGATAAGCACTATACCGTGCACACCTCTCTGATGCCTTACTTTTTTTTTACTCCTTTATCCAACAAACTATGTATATGCCAATCATTCGTCTCTGTCTTCCTATGGGTTCTCTATGGGTGGTGAACGAATCAAGGTCAGATTCTGCATTTCACTCCTTCTTGTGTTCCCCCTGTTGCATGTGGTTCAGAAAGGAAAGGGGAGGGATCCAGGGGAGGAGAGAGAAAGGAAGGAAAAGGCGAGAAGAGGAAAAGAAAGGATGTCTTTCCCCTAACAGTTTACTTTCTGAAGGGGCTGGGCACGTCTCATCCTCCTGCCCCACTTTAAGATTTTTCCTTGACAGCTGATTCTTGAGCCAATTGAAATTTGCTGATAATTGTTCCCTTAGCAACCAGCAGCCTTTATGCTATTCTTTTGATTTGGAACTCAGAGTAACTAAAACCTCTTTTTATCTGAAAGACACTTCTAATGTGTTTGCTTCCATTACAAAATAAAAAAGATAGTTTAAAAATTTCAATAGAAAAACTTAACAATATTTTAAATAAGTTTTAAGTGGTGTGTGTGTGTGTGTGTGTGTGTGTGTGTGTGTGTGCGCGCTCGCTCACGTGCATGCACGTTTGTTATTCCGGTTTTTGTTGTTTTGTTTTCTTGGCAAAGACTTCGGAGCAAACACTCCATAAGAATAAAATGGGGGCTGAGTTTTAGACTTTGCTCTTTTCCAAAAGTTAGGAACAATGCATTGGAAATCAAAGGAATAAATCACACGATGCTCAGTCCCAGGCTAGCACCTGAGTAGCAGCTCCTGTCCCCTCAGCTCCTCTCTGGACCCCCAATCCTTTTCTGTCGGTGGCTTGTTCATTGCTGTCTACATCCTGCAGACTCCAAGCACAACCCAGTGGAAGGGAAGAAGGGATGAGATCTGTTTGTTTTGGAAACCACGAGGAAACTTCTTTAAAAGGTGTTCCCAGGGCTGGAGCTCACTAAAGATTTAAGTGGAGATGAGAATAGAGAATGCACCTGAACGTTCCCCTCAAAACACCGCTCAGTACAATTACGCTACGAGAGCTCCCAAATGCAGCTCCAGGGCAACGCATGTCCTATTTATACACACATTTGATCAATGTTCACTGTTGAGTTGTTTCTGTAATCTTCCCTGGGAAGACATCTGCCCTAGATTCCAAGCCACGAGGGGCCAGCGGGCTTGGCAGAGCCCTGAGCGGAAAGGGGCGTAGTCTTAGCTTCAGAGAGGAGACCTGGTCTAGTCCACCGGTACAGCACCATGAACGGCTGCGCCCTTAACACATGTCACCTCACTGACTCCCTGTGACAAGTCACTGGCTTTGATGATACTGTCTTCAATTGAGGCTCAAAGGTGTTAGGTCATTTGCTCAAGATTTCCCAGTCAGGAAACGGCAAAGCCCAGAGTTGAAACTCAGGATTGGCAGACTTCAAAGCATTTAACCTAAGGTACCCAACCCGTTGCTTGCTCTCATTTGGAGATTTATCTCCTTCCCTCTTTAGGTCAAATATTAGAAATCGTACTAGATCAGCCAGAAACAGAACTCTGAGTGGGTTTCCAGGGCCTGGAGACTCAAACAACTGTCCCAGTCCCAACTTCTCCTGAAGTTGGCTCTGAACATCTTGCTTTGATTTTGCAACTCCAGAAAAGTGTGCAAATACACACACACACACACTCCCTAGCACAGTCCAGTGGAGGCCTCACTGGTGGCACTAATGATTAGATGACAATTGTTGGAATAAAGGGGGCAACAATTTGGTGACTCTTGGCCTCTGGGGGCAGGAGACCTGGGTTCACCTAATCAGCATTCGAAGCCCTCTGCAGTAATCTTGTCAAGCAGGGCCTGTCCACGCCATCATGGCAGGATCGACTGATTCTCCTGGACAGTTCAGAGCTTCTGTGTCTTGCTCCAACTAGTTGTTTGTGTGCTTGCTTGTTTGATTCTTTGCTCTTTCGTTATGTCTGAATCTGGTTGAGGAGATGCAGCTGTGTCTAACCTCACAAACACACACAGTGGGATTTCTCCCCAGACTAGGCCTGCATTGCTGAGAAATGTTTTCTTTTAAAGGTAATAGAATAAAATAGTTCCTTTTCTTTCCAGACCAGATAAAATACTAGAGAGTGTTTTTTGTTTCATTTGTTTGTTTTACTTAAATTTTTTTTTAAGAGAACCTTTGCGTGTGTGTGTGTAAGAGAGAGAGAGAGAGAGAGAGAGAGAGAGAGAGAGACTGAGAATCGAACCCAGGGTGCTCTACCACTGAGCTACATCCCCAGCCTTTTTATTTTGAGCCCGGGTCTTGCTAAATTGCCCAGGCTGCCGTCCTCCTGCCTGGGCCTCCCAATTTGCTGGACGTACAGGAATGAGCCACTGTGTCCAACAGTGTCGCTCCTTTTCAGCTGGTGAGGCATTATGAATACACATTTAATGTGAGCCTCCTGCTCCCCCTGAACACGCACACGCAGAGACCTACGCATACACACACACATGAACACACCATTTGTTCGACTGTTCAAAGCAAAGTCTCCCCTCCTGCCCACCCTACTGCTATCCAATCTCTGAAAGAACCTCAGGGAAGAATACCTCTTTACCTAATGTGAAGAGGAATCGAAATTATTTTGACACATTTGAGTGGCCTGAAGGCAGATTCACCGTGATTGGCCTGGCTGGAGACCTGCCCCCGCGGACCCCTGTGATGGCCTTTAGGATGACTGAGCCCTGCTCTCTGCAATTCTTTTCTTATTCGCTTTGCATCCCTTCTCTCACATCAGGACATTTCTCTTTTACCAGCCATATCGCTTATTTTCTTTCTTAAACCTCCCTCTCCTGGGATTGGAGAGAAACACAGAGAAGAATCCAGAAAGGGTCACAGACAAACTCTGCCACGGGGAGAGTGGCAGTGTCCATGACACTCAGGCCCACTGAAGTGGCTCCCACCCACAGTGTGCAACAGAAGTTCCAGGCAGAACGAAAAGGTGACTTACAGTGGATTTTGAAGTCCTTGTACTGTCTGTCCTCGATCGCTACCACGTACAAAGCTGCCCGGTCTGGAAACATAAGCCCTCCAGGTTTCTGTTGATGAATGGTGGGGAAATGGGTCTCGTAATCTATTCACCTGACAAAGACATCACATTTTGAACTGCACATAGAGTCACCAGACAAGCATCCCCTCGCCAGCATTTCTCATTCAAGGGACTGTCGCCTCGTCCAGGGTCAGGGCTGGGACAGCCATGCTCAGTGTTTATTTTGGAGCAAGGAGAAGTCGGGGGACAAATGCACAGTCGAGGGCACTTCAAAGCCAAGGTAAGCAACACGTCTGCTTGCTGGCAGTTCTGTGAGTCCCAAGGGCTACAGGACAGACTTTACTCTTGAGGGCAGCAAATGGGCGTCTACTATTGAAAGGCCCCTGTTAGTCCTCAATCGTGCATTCTGACGGTTGCCTGTGGAACCAGGGTGAGCCTCCCATCCCTTAAAGCAGATATGCTTTACAGAGAGCGGCCTGGGAGAGCTCTCTCTAAAGTCCTCGTGTTCTCCCTAGGCTGTAGGCCACGGGGACAGCAGCGAGACAGCCAGCAGAACAATGCGGGGACAGCCTGTGAGACACTTACCAGCCACTTGTCCCTGGCAAAGATCACCGTGTTGAGCATTGACTCATAGAATAGACAATAGCCCATCCACTCGCTGATGATGATGTCCACCTTCTCCACGGGCAGCTCCACCTCTTCCACTTTACCCTTAAATATGGTGATGACTGGAAAATAAAAACCCCAAGGCCACGCTTTGTGGGGACCCCACTGAGGAACCATGAGCTGCTCACTTCAGAGCACATCTCCAGTTCTACCTTTAGGAAGTGACGTGCCTCGCTCCCGGCCAAGCTGATCTGTACTAAGATCATTGAACGCTGCTTGCACATTTGCCCACTAAAAGGCTTTAAGCAGTTACGAGGGCTGGCATGCCTCGCCATCAGCTAGCTCTCCCGGCAACCCCATGATGTAAGCACGTCATTATTCTTCTCATTTTTACAACAAAGGAAACGGAACATTGCAGGTCAAACGGTGGCAGCAGAAACAGAGCCCAGGTCTGATATGGGGGGACAGTAATCCTCCCATCAGCATCCCCGTCCAGGGCCAGGTGACCATGACGTTCAAATGCAAAGAAACAAGGGGTGCCTCCTCCATGCCCCTGTATCTATTCAGTCAGCACCCAACACCCACCCCTGGGTGCCCTTGGTGTCTGAGAGGGAGGCAAATTGGTGTTTTGACAAGATCTGGATTCCACAGTCACAGAAACCTGGGGGTGAGTGCTGGGTCTTCTAATGGTTCGCTGACTGGCTTTACCCGTGTTATTTGACCTAACTTAATGCCAATTCCCCAGAGAACCATGGGGGAAAGTAAGGTCTACATAGAGGGACGTCGTACTGATTAAAGAAATGACACATGGGAAGTCCAGGCCCACTGTTGAGGTCAGCAGAAGGTAGAAATGACCTGACAGCTTCCTTCTTGTTGATGGATGGATGGAGCAGGGACGGTAATAAGCCCTGTTCCAGGTGGCCTCTGCTTATGAGTCAGCTCCAAAACCCCAGGTCCCACTGTGATTGGTGAAACTTCTTAGTTGGATTTTTGATCAGCTGACACAGACATATACATGATTTTGGAGTCTCCTCTCTCTCTCTCTCTCTCTCTCTCTCTCTCTTTTATTTGTGGCGGAAAAGATCAGAGCAAAATCTACCTTGGATGCTGCTACTGAATTGACAAGAGTCATGTCCTGGTTGGCTACTTCCTTCTGAAATTCTCGCTCAGCACCCACCTCCCCATCGCCCCAAAGGCCACGTTGGGCCTGAGCTCTGAGGACAGGAACCCATGGTGGCCTGTACCAAATCAACCACAGCTGTCATCAGTCTGAGTTTCATGAAAATTAATTTGGACACAAGGCTGTCCCTGGGCAAAGGTCACAGAATCCAGTGGCTTAACTTGGTGTCCTCACTGGGGACAACACAGATGATGACGGAGGGCCCATTAGCCACCTCTAGTGCTGGTTCACTCTGTGCCTTCTGGTGTTTGATCCGGGGTCATCAGGAAGACCCTCCTCTACAAGGAGCCAGAGACTGTACATGAGCGCTGGCCCTGACCCAGGCCTCTGTGACCTTTCTGGTTACTACTCCTGAGTCCCTGCCAAAATTCTCCTTCTCCAGGGCCCTGAGACCCCAGGGCAGGGGCTCAACCAAGAGCAGGGCCCAAGATACACCAAGAGAATTCACCAGGGCACAAAATCAAGGATTTTTGCAAATGCAAACGGTGCCTAATTTGTTTCTTAGTCTTACACGCCTGACCTACCTGCCTAATTACTGGCTTGCAAAGTCTGGCTTCTCTAAGTTTTTGGTAAACAGTTTTACAGTGTTTTAATGGCCATTCTCCTTCTCCTCCTTCTTCTCACGACTCCTGAAGGCTCTTCCCTGATGTCCACAGGTGTCTAGGCTGCTGTGGGTCAAGCCCTCCTCCTGTGTTATATCATGGCCTCCCTATGACCAGGGACATGTCTCTTCTGTCCTCTGGAGTCCCATGGGCCTCCAACTGGGGTGTTTAACACAAGGCTCCACCCATGACGATTCAGTGGACTGGGCTCCGTTAGGAGTTGTGGGAAACAAATGGACAAGCGCTTATAGGCTAGTTCAGCAAAGAGGCGTATGTGGAATATTCTTGGGTGCTTCCCCTGCCCCCAGCGAGTGAATACTGCCCATATCCTCTGTGCTAGCCCTCGAATCCATCAGCTGCTATATCCTGATCAGTATAGCTCATGACAGATAAATAGATAAGATGGCTTGATAGGCAGACAGGTGCTTTGCAACAGGAAGAAGAAACACCTCCCTTGGGTTCAGATGTGGACTGGAACACAGACTCTACTCCTACCCTTGTCCAGGTGCTTTTGTGCAGTGCTCAACCCGCACCATTTTATGCTGTCATCTTGAAGGCCACAATTTATGCTCTTGTTTCAACTGACAATGAATCCTGTGGAATCACCGCCTCTCCTTTGGGACCTCAGTCTCCTCAGTAGTAAAAAGAAAAGAGGGGAAACAAAGGAAGTAAGTTGTATCAGAAATCCTTTGCAGTTCCAAAACACTATGGTCCTTCAAATACGTACTGAGCACTCACACTCTGTAAGGCACTCTGTGAGGCCCTGACCCAGGCCTCTGTGACCTTTCTGGTTACTACTCATGAGTCCTGGTAAGGGCAGCTGGCATTTATATAAAGTGCCACCTACAATATCCAGTTTAGTTCTCGGTTGCAACAGTTCTTGAGCTTGATTTTTTTTCTCAGAGGCCACATAGTTCCTATGGACACAAACACAACTGCCAAGATGAATCATGGATATTTATGAGGACTGTAGTCATCGCTGTAACCACTTCAATCTCCAAATTCAATTTCCCATCTGCAAAATGATACCTCTTGTGGTGGAATTTGGGCCAATCTGTTAGGGGCTCTGGACCAACATATGGCATGAGGCTGGCTTGAAGAATTCTGTGGGGACTCACAGCTCGGTTTCCCCTTCTCCACATCACGGTTTTTCAAGGGGGTCTAAGGTTCTGGGTAGCTTCAGGCTGCAGACACCCTGGCCCAATCTGGACCCCACATCACTAAAACTGCACCAGCTCAAGGTGGCATTGAGGACACTAATGGGGCTGCATTCTTATTCCATAAGGATGGTAGAACGTTTGTTCAACTACCTGTGACAGGATCCTGGCTCGTCAACTTCAGGATGATTAATCATAACTAAATGCACAACAGGGAGTGATCGACTCTAAACTGGGAAGTTTCCCCTGTAGCAAATTAGACATCCAGAAATGTTATATTAGTGTTCTTTTTCTTTCAATTTGAGCAGTTATTTCAGAAATGTAATCATTCTGATTAAAGGTAATTTTTAT